GTGGATGGTTTACTTTTGTCTGCTGCCACAGTATCTTGTTCCTTGATGGTCAGGGTGAGGGTTGTGATTAATTCTGGCCATGTGTAGTGGGGGCTGTTTTGCTGGAACAGCCGGCTGTTGTTGCTGCTGTTGATGATGATGATGATGATGATCTCAGTTGCTCCTGAGGAAGCCCACGGGGCGAAACGTTGAGCTATTAAACAAATTTAAACATTTTATATTGTTATTTTATTTTTGTCTAAAATTAAAACAAGACTCTCCCTCCTACTCTGCTTACCAAAAAATGATGATGATAATGATAATGATAATGATGATGGCGATGGTGGTGGTGATTGTTATTATTATTATGATATATCTGTAGCGTTGCTTTCGATTTTATTTTCACCCTGTTTTGTTATTTTTTTAAATTTTGGGGTTGCATCATTATTAATATAATATTTATGCTATCCCTTTTCTGCCCCTTCAAAAGTTCGTAATGGAATAGTGAAACGAAAGAAAAAGGGGAAGGAACGTGCGAGTGTTTGTGCAGGTGGGGGGGGGGGCTGAGATCCAGAGACCAGGGGAAAGGGGGGATGGGTGGAGGGTGGTTAAGTGTCCCATTTTCCATAATACGAGCGTATACTAGTGGTTTTCTCACAGTTTAGCGAGTGGCGAGTGCATCAGTCCCTTTTGTGACGTAATGTGCATGAGTTTGGGCACAGTGAGGAACACAAATGTTAATACATACCCCTCCCCCCCAACACACACACACACACACACACACACACACACACACACACACACACACACACACATGCTCGGGCAGACACGCCCTACTTTATCCTACTTCAACCCGACAATGATCCCCTTTCTGAAGAATTTTGTTGTTGTTGTTGACATCACAAGCGAAACCATTTTCTCTCTTTTTTTACTATTCATTGCACTCTTGCACGATAAATTCCCGACGTATGTTGTGTATAGCGCAAAAAGAAAACCACACCAGAGCGCTGGCTAACCACCCACCAGCATGATGAAGGATTCAGTTTGTTATATAATATATAGTATTATAGTATACGAACTCCCAGTATTAACCGTCTATAATAATAAATAGACAGTAAATTAGAATTAGGCTGGTGTGCTTCTGTCGAACCAAAAGTCTCCTGTCAAACAGAGCTGGTGAGTTTGATGAGATGGGTTTTAGGTAAACGTGTCAGAAAATTACGCAATTGCGGCAGACCTCAATTGACACGCATTGATCTGTAAGCTCTTCTCTCTCGCTTTGCTCTCTCTCTCTCTCTCTCTCTCTCTCTCTCTCTCTCTCTCTCTCTC